AGAGTATAGTACAGTTTTTTATAAATACGTGTTTTTTTCTATAAAAGAATGTCGTGTGATGCTAAATCGTGTAAAACTAACAGAATATTAAATCCATATGGTATTTATTTTTAGTTTTATAGGTAGATGGCTTAAATAAAAGTTCAATATAAACAAATAAAGGTGGAAATTATTAGAGATGGGAATCGGAAAGTTTCCATTTTAAGGAAACTTTTTGAAAGTTTCTTTTAAGCTACCGGAAACATTCCTTGGAAACATTCTTTGGAAACTTTCCTTGTTTTTTTTATTTAAATGTCAATTGTTTAACCGCTGATTTTCGTTAAGGCCATGATACAAGGCCAAGAAACTTTGAATAAGAATTTAATATGTGTTAATTTAAGGCAGAAGAAGTATAAATAATGTAAGTTATGTTACATAACCTCAATGAAGCCGGATTATTCAGCATCATCACAAAAAACCCTGGCATAAAAAAAATATTTTCGCAATAATATTTTTTTTTTGAAACTTTCGGAAAATTTCGGGAATTTTCGATGGAAAGTTCCCGGGAATTTTCGTCAAATGGGAATTTTCCCATCTCTAGAAATTATTAAATATGCTGTTTACTCATTTAATACATACTTTTTTATTTAAATTAAATTTAAATTATTAAATAGCGGTGTATTTCTAACCTGGAAATCTAATTTTGCCTCTCCAGAGTCGTAAAATCACTTCACAGATTATAAAGAATCACTTATATTTCACAACCAAAACCTATTTATTTTGCTTCTCCAGAGTCGTAAAATCACTTCACAGATTATAAAGAATCACTTATATTTCACAACCAAAACCTATTTATTAGAATCTACCTAGTAGGTAGTACCTACCAGGTACAGCCATAAATGGACGGCTTTCTGCAGAATGGGACCAACCCACACCATGATGAAACTGAGAAAAAAGCTATCAAAGATTTTAATAATTTTAAAATTACCTGTTAATTTTATGCCGATTTTGGACTTACGGAGGTTTAAGGGATATAATTTAATTATTTCATCAGGTGGATTTTGTGATGTTATGTGTAAGGGTGACGAAAAACATGGGCTTTTGTTGGTTGGTTCCTTTCTGCAATTTATGAAAACTACTATCTGATGTATGTATGTATTTAAAGAAAAGCAACAATTATTTATTTCCAAACAAAATACAACTGATATTACTATTATAATGGTAATATGAATTAATTTTGATTCTATTTGAAATTCGTCCACATCATCTTCCAACCCCACCTCATCTTGTAAGCTACCAAAAAAATGCATCAAGACTTTATATTTTGCAGAAGCAGGAAATCTTTAAAGACTTTGGTAGTGGGTCTACCAGCCTGCTTTTTTACAAAAAAGATCCAACCCACTTGCAGATATTCTACAGATTCTAATTCTGGATTAGTAATCCACACTATTATTGAATGTTGGTTGGTTCAATGATTAATAGATTTCACTACAGTTGCATTTTGGCTATGACCTATTTTGCAGATAAATTATACATACTTAATTAGCAAGGATTTTGTGTAAAATCCTTGCTTAATTAGTTCATAGGCTAAATATCTCCATTTTTTTGGTTTTGTGGGTTGGTTCCTTTCTGCAGAAAGGCGTCCAAATAACAAAACGATTCGTACGTACGTCAAAACATTATTGCAAATCAATTGTCAAAATTACTTGCTTACTTCACATGTATTTTTGATACTATTTTCACGTCATACGGACGCATTGACAAACAGCGCCGCTGGTGGTGAAAAAAAAAGACTTAATTTGTGCAATTTAGTGGACAATTTTCCCTATTAAGTTCGGGCTCCTTGTGTAGGCTCCATGTTTCAAATCTTGCAAATTCGCAGAATCTGTCGAAACGTCAAAACAATTTTCCCGCCAAATCAAATCGACCAAAGGAAATATTTTTCGTATTTTGCATTTATATGAAACCGCTTTAACGCAGTCGGGCCAAAGCGTGGTCAAACAAAGGTTCTTTGCAGGGTTGGGTCAGTAGAAAACCTAGGTAATTTACCTTGGTAGAAAAGGGTAGAAAACTTGTTTTCGACTTGCGTCGAAAACCTATAGGGTTTTCTACCTACGTTAATTACCTTATTCGATCTTCTCCTTCCACTTCTCTATAATTGATAAAAATTTGCCCTCATGCCAAAAATTATGTTGGGGTCTCCCAACCAAACGTGGCCCTTTTTTTCCCACCATAATAATGTTAAAAAACTCCAAATAACTTCAAATTTATGGTAGGTGTCTGATTTTTCACAACATTTAAGTGCTCATTCATAATGGACGTAACCATAAGATGACCGTAAAACGTAAACATAATATCACCATAATTTGTACGTAACGGTGAGATGTGTTTATAATGAACGTATATGCCTTACACAGAACGTATATATTAATAAGGCGCGCATGTCCAAGTTCACTAAAATGGCAGCATTGACAGATTTCGTCTAATTATTATGTCTTAAAACTTAAAAGTTTTAAGACATAATAATTATAATTATAAATATAAATTAAGTTAAAACTATCAGTGTTATCATAACCTTAGTGTAATGAGCGATATACGTTGGCAAAGAGAAGAAAAAAAGGGCGAATTTCGTCGAATAATACTCGAACTAAAACTTAAGGATAAGGAATGGTTCTTTAAGCCGCGTCCAGATTTGTACCGCGTCGCGCAACCGTACCACGTCGCGAGCCACGTTGCGAACCACGACGCGAATTTCATCCCGCAACCACGTACGCCGCCTCGAACAACATACCGGACCTCGGGTTGCAACCATTGCCGCGTTCCAATTTTTAGTCAGATTTTAAAATGGATATCGCTGCAGCAGCGTACATTTATATTCATTTCGCTTTATCAACTAAAAAGCGAAAACAAAAAAGGCGGTGGTGGCAAACAGAAATATTTAGAAATAGACCGAAATATGGTGCGAACAAATTGCTTGCAGATTTAAAGATGCAAAGAATTAGTGGTCAATATAAAAATTTCACTCAAATGTCAACAATAGATTTTGAATATCTTCTTAATGCAATTGGGCCCAAAATAGGAAAGCAAGATACCAAGTTTCTAAAAGCAATCTCAGTGCAAGAAAGACTAGCTGTAACATTCATTTTGCCTATATAAACTAATTAAAAGTAGAATAGTTTCTTCGGTCCACTCCATTTCATACACAAAATAAAACTAAACAAACAAAATTGCCCTTCTGCCCGTCCAGACTTGTTCAACGTCGTCGCATACCAATCCTTTGATGTTTTGTCAGTTTACCGACAAGTCGTGGATCGCGACGTACAGTTGTATTCATTAAAAAAGCGTACAAGAATTAGAATGAGAGAAACCTGTCAACATTATTGCGTAAAACCGGCTTTCCACTGACTTAAGTCACTATAACTGACAGTAGAAAATAAAAATGCCTCGTCAGTTAAAAAGGCTCAAATAGTATCAAGAATAGAAGAAGAATGGTCAATTCGTACCGTGATATAATAGAAATAAAAAATCTATATTAAAAATTAAGCAACGCTGGGAACAGGAAGATTTACTAAACCAAAAAGTTGGTTCAGGTCGTCCCAAAATGTCCACCCCTGAACAGGATGCTGCTTTTTTGGGATATCTGAGGATTTATGGGAAACTATACAACTATACTACCTACCTACTATACTGCTGGGAGGATATTAATCCAAATATTGTATTAAATTTAATTCAGTTCATCCCAAATAGATTGTCTCAAGTAATAAAAAAACACGGATGCATGACTAAATATTACATTTTTTTAATGTTTGTTTTTTTTCATTTCTAAAAGGTAAACATTTTTGTAATATTATTTAATTAACTTACGACGTCAATGCTCTTTATAACCTATAGTAATTATTTTAATGACTTATGTCAGTGATAAGCCGGTTTTAAGCAATAATATTATTTTGACAGTTTTCTCTCATTCTAATTCTTGTACGCTTTTTTATTGAATACAACTGTACCTCGAGCTGCAACGCTTAAGGTACGGATTGGTTGATGCGACTCGCGACTGCGACTTGCGGCTGCGACCTTAGCCGCGCCACTGCTTAGTACAATTTGTGTGTATACGGTTTGGTTGGCGCGTTCAGTCGCAGTCTGCGACTGAACGCGTCAACCAAAACATATACAAACAAATTGTACTAAGCAGTGGAGCGGCTACGATCGCAGCCGCAAGTCGCAGCCGCGAGTCGCATCAACGAAACTGTACCTTTATTAGGTTCGCGACGGCGTTCGTTTCGACGTCCAGATTGCGCGCGACGTGGTTCGCAACGTGGTACGGTTGCGCGACGTGGTACAAATCTGGACGCGGCTTTAGATTGTTTGTTCTGTGGATACACCAAAATACACATGAAAAAGATCTGTCATCTGTTTGCATGGCTAGTACCCTGATTGCTACCAACAATTTTCTAGTGAAATCATGAAAGTTACTAAAATTCACACATAAGAAACCCGTAAAGTTGAGATGATTTCAACTTTACGTATTTTTTACGGTCACCCATAAGATCTTATGTTCGAACGTAAAACGTAAAAATTACGGCTATTCATTATAAACAGGCACACTGGTTTTGTTAATATTCAACTTTACGTTTTACGTATTTCTTACGGGCATCTTATGGTTACGTCCATTATGAATGAGCAGTAACAAATCATAATAAACAACAAACTTGCATAACCTCACATTTTTTGATATTTGACAGTATTCTACTTTTTTACGTTTTCTACCGTCGAAAACGTCGAAAAAGGTTTTCTACATGTCGAAAACAAAAATGTAGGTAGATACCTTTGATAAAAATCGTACTGGATGGAATTTTACTAAGTTGGCAACACAGCATTGCTTTTAGCTTTGAAAAACATTCTTCTTCTTCCTCGATCTGAAAACATCTCCGTTTTCAAGGGGGGATGGCCTTTAGCTAAGTTAAAAACGTTGTCCTCTCGTTTTCTAACCTATGTTTTAACCTAACTTTGGTTTGGTTTTCCAAAGTTTCTTTTACCACGTGCTAATTTTTTGCTCCTCCGTGAAGCGAAAATCGCCGAGAGGTTGCATTAATTTTATAAATAAATATTTTAAAGAACAAGTTTAATAAAAATCATTCAAAATGGTAAGAACATTAAATTATTTTCTTAACAAAACCACGTGTATTTTATAACGCTATATGTAAATGGTATTGGCCCTACACCACACACTGTTGGGTAAATAAGTACAGTAATTTAAAACGGGAGCTAATAATATTACAATAAAACCTAATAAACAGATTCAAAATATCTTAAAAGTACAGCAATTTCCATAAAACTGTTTTTATGAAAGCCTGAGTACGGAAATTTTACCCGTTTTTAATATTTTATTAATCAAATAATACAAGCCAAGCATTTTACATTATATTCAAATTATTAGACATCAAAAACAATAATATTTAAAACTAAGCACTCTTGGTAACAATTAATTATTAAGAAATTCACCTGATAGTAGTAATAACTAATTGTATTTTCAGGCTGAAGAAGTTAACCCAAAGGCATACCCTTTGGCAGAAGCAACTTTAACCACCAAGATTTTAAACTTGGTCCAGCAGGCCATGAACTATAAACAGCTACGTAAAGGTGCCAATGAAGTAACCAAGACTCTCAATCGTGGTATTGCCGAGTTTATTGTGATGGCTGCCGATGCTGAACCATTGGAAATATTGTTGCATTTACCTCTACTTTGTGAAGATAAAAATGTTCCTTATGTATTTGTCAGATCTAAGCAGGCTCTTGGTAGAGCTTGTGGTGTATCAAGATCTGTAATTGCCTGTAGTGTGACTATTAATGAGGGTTCACAACTGAAACCTCAAATACAGTCCATTCAACAGGAAATTGAGCGCTTATTAGTTTAGGTTTAAGAGTTCGTACAAATATTTTTGTATTTTTTTTTCAATTGACTAATAAAATTATTATTTAGAACATTTTTGTATTTTATTTTTTTTTGCAAATTAGAACCTGATTAATAATAATTTAATTGTTTAATTACTATAGTATACTAGTACTAATATTTCATTATTTTTTAACAGTGCTTTTTAGGCATCTACTTCAGGGACGTCCCTAATAATAATAATTATTAGTACTAATAATTATTCATAATATTAGTCTATTTTTATCCACTAAATCTGTCTATCTGGAGTACCTTAAAGCTAATTGAGCTCACTACATTGTATATATATATACACTAGGGTGCTTTTTTTTTCACGACTATTTTTATTATTTCGCTCCCAACTCAAAATCTTGTGGAAAATGTCCAAAAAAAATTCCTTGAAAATTTGAGCCCTTAATATTAACACAAAGTACTCTAGCAAAGCGTATAAAGATTTCCCATTTAAAATACATGTAAACTTTGATTATTTTTTTTTAAATATCTATATCTCAGCCGCATTTTATGCTATTGGATTGTTTCAAAAAGGGATTTATTCGTAATTAAAAGTTCCACAAAAATGCTTTATATGCCATAGCTGTAATCTGCACCTGTAGGATGGTACAAGTCACTAAATCTTATTTTAGTGAAAAATTCTCATATTTTTGAAGATATTTCAAAAGTGACTGGATTCTTTGAAAAAATGTAAAGGACAAACTTGTAGAAAATTTAATTTTCCTTAAAAAAGGTCTTATCAGTTGAATCGCTAAGATTAATATTTGTTAAGATATTAAGCGTTTACATTGACATTTTATGAAATTTTCAGGATTTCATAATATTTGTCTATTTTTCTCCACTAAATCTGTCTATCTGGAGTACCATAAAGCTAATTAAGCTCACTACATTGTATATATACAGTGTAGGGTGCTTTTTTTTCACGACTATTTTTATTGTTTCGCTCCCAACTCAAAATATTGTTGAAAATGTTTAAAAAAAAAATCCTTGAAAATTTGAGCCCTTAGGTATATATTTAACTCAAAGAGTATAAAGATTTCCCATTTAAAATACGCGTAAACTTTGATTATTTTTTTAAAATATCTATATCTCAGCCGGATTTTATGCTATTGGATTGTTTCAAAAAGGGATTTACTCGAAATCAAAAGTTCTACAAAAATGCTGTATGTGCAATAGCTGTAATCTGCACATGTTGTATGTATACCAGTGTTCTTTGATGTATACCAGTGTTACCAATGTCATATAATAAAATTATCCACCCAGACGTCTGAAATTATCCGCCAGGATCCGATTTTTTTAAAGGGAAAATACGCCAATTTTAAAAATAAGTAAAAACATACAAAGATACAAACTTGCACATTATATTACAAAGTGTCATATTAAAAAATAACATAATTTATATTAAAAAAATGTATTTAGTTCTCTTTATTATTATTTTATTATTTACTTCTTGGATCTTGGTGTTGTAATAGCTATTTTCGCGGAGCTAATCCCGAACTAATTCACATCCTAGGCATGCGCTTTTTAAAATTTGGCGTTCAAAATGTAAAGTGCGCATGACAAATATTAAAAAGCGCATGCCTAGAATGTCCGAACTAGTTCGGGATTAGCACCGCGAAAACACCTAATATCTCATAATCTTCATAATTCTGAAGATGATGTATTAATACTATCCTAAAACAGTGAATTTTAAAATGGGTTAAACTTCTATTCTTTATTTAGAGTTTTTAACTTTTTACAAATTAGAGTGTTGCCCCAATTTTTTCCGTTAACTTCAGAAATATAAACACCATGGTTTTTTGAAATAAATAAAATATCCAAAATTATCCGATTTATAATAGGGTTAGAAAGAGATCCGCAACCCCGCAAAATTATCCGCAAATCGGAGAATTATGATAATTCAATTATCCACCAATCGGCAACACTGATGTATACACCTCGTTATATCAATTTTCAGGTTAGATCTATGCTTGATTGTTTGAGTTATTTATTTTTCTCTTATCACCCAACTGTAGAAAAAACGTAATTATAATTACGTCATAGATGAAATTTTACTGATAAACAATTGAAAATCATTATTTTTAAAAAGTTTGGTACGAAAATACTAAAAAGTTCATAAATTGTCGATGTAAACGCTTTATATCTTAACAAATATCAATCTTAGCGATTCAACTGATAAGACCTTTTTTAAAGAAAATTAAATTTTCTACAAGTTTGTCCTTTACATTTTTTCAAAGAATCCAGTCACTTTTATAATATATTCAAAAATATGAGAATTTTTCACTAAAATAAGATTTAGTGACCCGTACCATCCTACAGGTGCAGATTACAGCTATGGCACATAAAGCATTTTTGTAGAACTTTTGATTAGGAGTAAATCCCTTTTTGAAACAATCCAATAGCATAAAATGCGGCTGAGATATAGATATTAAAAAAAAAAAGTTTACGTGTATTTTAAATGGGAAATCTTTATATGCTTTGAGTTAATATTAAGGGCTCAAATTTTCAGGGAATTTTTTTTGAACATTTACAACAAGATTTTAGTTGGGAGCGAAAAAATAAAAATAGTCGTGAAAAAACAACACCCTAATATACACACATGATCAAAATTGTTGCATATTTTTGTATTTTAATTTTCGCTTTGTATAACGTTCTGTTTTTTGTTGTTTTGGAATAAATTTTCATTTAATTGATATAATACGTAAAATAAAGAAATTAATATATTGAAGTACCTATATATTTTTGTAGGAAATAATAAAAATAAAAGTTTTGAAACCAATCATCCACCTCGGAGATAATATATCATATATATATATATATATGTATATATATATATATATATATATACTGTCGTCAAAGTCATCATCCTCGTCGAAACTATAGTTATGATATTATAATATCATAACTATAGTTTCGACGAGGATGATGACTTTGACGACAGTATTCAGATAAATAATGTATTGGCAGTAAAATACCCAGACAGCAATATGACGTCTTAATGAAGTCTGCGTATAGCTTATAAGCTCCAATTTATGACGTCAGATACAACATATATATGTTCGATAGGTGCTAGGTGATAGGCGCATTCGAAGAACTTCTTAAAAACGTATTTCTGATATAAGAAAGACATATGTCAATAGTTCTCAAAAAAGAACTCTTGAGGAACCCTTTCTTTGATTTCGCAATTAAGCATTTTAGTTCTACTGTATAAACTTTTAAAAATACTTCTTTAGAATTTCCTGTTTTGGATATAGAACTACTACTAGCTAGTACCCTAGGGTACTGATGAAAAAAGTACATACTGGATCGTTGCCTATATATGAAGTCTTCTGACGTTTAAATGACGTTAGCAACGTCATTTTAACGTCATATAAACGTCAGCAGACGTCAGTGTGATACCTGGGATAGAACAAACGAATTTGTTAAATTAATTTTATTAAAATCATTTAATTTGCTTAAATTTGCTTATTTTTGAAATAACTTCGTCTCACTTTTGTTTAAATTCAAGCGTGCTCTTCACCGGCACCAATAGACCGCCTGTTTCGCCCACAAAAAGTACTTTTATACTATACTAAAGGTACTTCCAAAAATTTAGATTTTTTAATTAATTTTTAACCTGAGCCCCGACCAATTTTATTTTAAAAAATCCTAAATAAGTTTCTTACTTTTTTACTATCCTAAAGGTACTCATATTTGCAAATTAATTTTTAACCCAAGCCACTTTTAATAAAAAAATTAGAACAAATCCTAAAAAAGTGGGAAAAACTCTTAATTTTTCAAACGGGTTTTTTTCCAACTTTTTTACGATCCAGACGGTACTCCCAAAAATTTTGCTATTAGTGATAAGATGTGTACAATATCCGAGTTCATTTTTTATCCTTACGTTGTACAGTGTACACAGTGGAATACATTTTTTGCAGTAAGTTTTTGACTTAAAATGTATAATGAAACCTATAGTATTCCATATTACCTATATTACAATTGAACACTAATTTAGGCAAAACATATTTATTTAAGTTTAAAATTAAAATTTACGTGCCTAAAATAAATCTACGTTTTTAACTAAAATTAGTTCACATACTTATCAAGTTTAAATTTAGTCAATGAATACAAGGGGGTTTAATTGGGTATGAAAATCAATATGTAAAAAATTATTCAGATGATTTGATAATATAAAACTTTCCATAACATATATATTGACAAAACATTTTAATTCATTTAAAATTTGTAATCAATAAACGATATGTTTGGGGTGCATAAACATGAATACAAATAAAACAAGGCAATATCAATTTAATATATACTTAGCATTTAAATATTCAATGTACATTGTATACTTATTTTTATATTTAAATACAAATGTTGGTGCTTTAACTAGTTGGAACAGATGATTTTGTCATCATATCTAATATTTGAGTATATCAAACACAGTAGAATAATCTACAGTTTTCCTTGACTGCAAATTAAATTTAATAAAATAGGGTACTTAATAAATTACTTGGGACTTAAAATTGTTATAGAAAAGCAGCCAAGGAGTACAGATATATTGTCTATAAAACATACATCACATTTTCTAATAACCAATTTATGTACATAAAAACAAAAGGGTTAGCTGAACCAACCAAATTACAATAAATTATGAGAATTCTGAATGCAATGCTTTATAAATAATTTTAAACTATGCTATATGCATTGTTCGATAAAAAAAGCAATTCAAATAAATCAATCACCTAAAGAGAGCTGTTGCTACTTGGTTAGCCATGGATGTTTAAGGCAATCTGCTGCTGTGGCTCGTCTTTCTGGATCAAAATCCAACATAGGTTTTAGGAACTCTGCAAATTCCTGTGCCTCACTTCTATTCCAGTCATACTTTTCAGTTAAGACATCATCTAGACCCCATGGTTTCAAACCCGTGATATGGCGTAATTCATTTTTCTTGTTAAAAAACAATCTTGAATTTCTTCCACTCTGGGCAATTCTTTTAGGAATGTGGCCTAATAACTCAATAATGTGTGCCAAGTGGTCTTCATCTCTGCAGTAATCATCCCCTGAATGTGGTTCAAAAAGATAATCCCCAGTTGCCAGCTCAAATGCCATACAAGCAGTGCTCCAAATATCAGCAGAAGTGTTGTAACCAGCTCCCAATAAGACCTCTAATGAACGGTATTGCCTAGTTTGAATGTCTTCTGTAAAGTGCTTGTCAACCCAGCAAGCATTTCCCAGATCAGCTATTTTAACATCAAATTCACACTCTACAAATGCAGGGTCTAATTCAGCATCAGGTTTTATTTCACTTTTGGATGTGACAGAGGGAGAATCATCTTCTGACATTGGTACAATGGGTTCTAAAACATCATCGCAGCCTATTGGAATCACTTCTGTGCTTTCTTCAGAACAACCGTTAAGCACTTTATCACCATCATTTTCAGGTGTTGTTTCAGGACTTGATTCTGGATCAACACCATTAAAATCTTTATCACCATTCAGGTCACCATTTTCTTTTCCTTTCTTTTGCTGCTCTTCCAATTCAATGATTTGTTCCATTTGTCTTTTTAGCAACTCATTTTGACGTTTGGCTTTTTTCTTCATCTTCTTCTTCTTGTTTTTGCTCATTTTTTGCTGTGGAGATTCTTGTATGGGTGCAGTGCTAACAAGGGAAGTTGGAAGTTTTAAACCTAATTGGTGCATTTCGGCAGCTTCACATGCTAATCTTCTAATATATTCTTCATTAACACAAATAAGGACATTTTCAGGTTTAATATCAGTATGAATAATTTGACATTTGGTGTGTAAATAATCAAGACCTTCTAAAACTTGTCTCATTATAGTACGTACATTTCCTAATGGTATTCCACGGTAGTTGGATTTAATGATTAATTTAAGTAAATGATGTCCTAATACTTCAAAAACCATACATACATGAACCCCATTGACTCCACTAATTTTAAAGTCATTTAAGAGTTGTACTGTTTTATTTCTTTTGGGATCAACAGGATCAGACTCCCGTACAGATTTGAGGATCTTTATTTCATCGAGAGCCGTTTCAGTGAAGTGATCAGCTGATTTAACAATCTTTAATGCCACAAACCGCTTGTCCTCTAAATCCCAGCACAGCCAAACTGTTGAAAAATGTCCCCAACCCAATTTTCTTGTGACATGATACCGGCCAAGAAACAGGTCGCCGATTTTGACGGGATGGTAACCTCCTTTGCGGTAATCTGTACTATCCTCCTGTTCCTCCTCCTCCTCGCTACTGTAAGGTTCATCCGGATCCTCGATTGTCTCGTTACTTGAACTATGAGATGGCTCATTTTTTGACGATTTATGACGATTTTCGCCACCATGTCCATTCATTTCGTTTTTTCCTTTCTTTTTACTAGGCTTGTGTCGTTTCTTTTTAGCTTGAATTGCTAAAACTCGCCTGTTAACATCTAATTTTGCACTCATTTGAACTTATTTTCTGCAATCAAACTATCACAAAACGTTCATAAAATGTCAAATGTTCATTATTTCGAGAAAACACTTTTGTTTGATTTTATATGGCGGCCGAGTTCTCCCAGCTAAAGTCGAAAACCACGGATAGGCGGCGCATTAGCCAAGAAGTTGCGTCGTTCCAATTACATGTAACCTCCTTTAATTTAAATAATTTATATTTAACGTCGTTACATTCAAAAACCATTATCTATGGTTACATTACGACCTAAACGTAAATAATAAAATAATATTAATTAGGTACAAATATTTTAATAGGCAAACCAAAAATTATTTTTAATTTATATTGCATTACAAATAATTATTATTTAAAAATAACATTTTAAATTTGTAATTTTTCATAAATACCATCTTTAGGTATACTTTAAAATGCCTATTTTTATATAAATAACACTTCTATTATTTTCTATTTAATTCTTATGTCTATAGTGGAAGCCATCTCCAAGATTTCTGCGCATGGTCTTTAATTTGACGTTCGAATAGTTTTGGAGGGAAAGCAACGGTTAACTTTTAAGCATTTAAACCCTTTAATTTGTTTGTGTTTACGTTAATATAAATGTGATGGCTCAACCATCAGTAGCAAGTTTTTTTACCACTAGAAAGCGGTCTGTGATTGAAGACACCAAGATAAATCGAGCTAGAAAGGTATTAGTGCTTGATTCGAGCAATTTATGTAGTAAAACTGTAGATGGGTTAGAAGATAGTGTTGTGTTGTCAAAATCTATTAGGAATGTGTTTCTTGAAAGTAATTTACAGACTAAGTTACAGGAAAAGGAAGAAAAGAGTGTTAAATCAAAAAAAAAATTGCACACAGTGACACCAGCTATACAAACTGAAACAAAGAAAGTTCTTCATCCTGCAAAAGGGAGGAAAGTTAAAGAACTCACTAATAATAAAAATATTCAGGAGTTTTTAAATAACATCAAAAACACAACAAAAGAAACTCCAGTTGAGCAAAATGTTACTGAAGAAAAAACAGCCAAAACTACCTCGGGAAATGAAAATGCCATGGATAAAGTTTCCGATAAAAGTAAAGGCCCTTCAATTAAAGAAATACAAAAGAAAATGTCTAGAAGTGCTAAATTGGCAGAGCTAAAGGCATCAATTTCCAGGTTTCAAGAAAAAGACACCAAATTAAAAGAAATAGAAAAGAAAACAGTCATCATTCCACAATCTCCAAAGATTAAAGCCTTTAAAACTATTGAAGTTGAGGTTCATACAAGGTAAATGCACTTTTTTATTTTTATCCTATTTATAATTAGACATTAAGGTAGATAAACTGTAGGACCATTCACGTCAATTTTAAAATTATTTTGCTAGTGGGTGGAAAATAAAGTATTTTAGTTTTTATTAAAAATAAGCTAGTTTGTTTAATTATGTCACATAAGTATATAAAGTACTAATTGTATTATTTAATTACTTAGGTGTTAAACATATTTAAATTAAGTTTGGCTGGATATTAATTACCTACATAGCTAGAAAACAAAACAGCTGTAATTATGCTTTACTTAATCTACAAACAAACGTCAAGTCCAACATTGAATATAGCATAATAATCTGGAGTGGCTTAATACATGTTCATATATGACTTAACAATTCAGATTTTTTTTTTAAGAACATTGTTTGGAGTAAAACTTAGATGTCATTTTAAACCATTGTTTATTAAAATGACTGTTTTTTCACTTTATTTGTACAATATAATAATATTTGGTGCTCAAAACAAATGAAAGTTCATTAAGAATGGTGATTTAAACTCAATAGCTACTAGAAACTCTTACTTATTAGTAAGAAGTATTCCTATACATCGCTCGGCAAAGTTTGAAAAAAGTAGCAGATATATTGGCATAAAAGCTTATAATAAATTACCAAAAAAATATTTGAAACTAAAGATAAGACAGTTAAAGTTTAAACTAAAATAATTTTTCTTGCAGAATCCGTTTTACTCCATACAAGAATTTCTAAACTGTGATATAACTATTTTTGATATAAGTTAATCTTTAACTAATTATGTGGTAGTTTAATTGGTCTATAAAGGACCTAGGTATATATTTTTTTAATTAATTTAAAGTATTTTGACGATTGCTTGTAATTTATTCTGTAAATTAAAGGAGCAAAATAAAGTATGAATATTATAGATACAAATTTTTGTACAAAAAAAAGAGTTTACCAAAAATATTGGGAGAAAATTCATTTTATTTTAAACAAGTTTTTTTTTGAGTTCCTTTGTTTTTTTTTCTTTTTTCACTTTTTGTAAATACAGCCTACACAGGTAAATAAAGGTAACAAGAACATAAGTGAGTATGTCAAGATCCAGTTTCAGAAAATGGCAAAATAAGCATTGAATAGGCTGCCTATTATGGGCATTACAAACAAAAATAGCTAAAATTTTGTTTCAGTATTTTCTAGTTATTAACACCTTGTTGAATTTTTTCCCGAATATTTCTAGTATAATGGTGACTAAAAATAAAATATATTCCATACATCATAGCACCATAATAAAAACAATTCCTATCCTTAGAATTTATTAAATTCAATTTACTTAAACAAACTTATAAAAAATAAAAGTAGATTCTAGCAGTTTTTCTTTTCAAATAATTGTAAAATTGCTGTTTTCAATGTGTTTAAAAAGGGGGCTCAATTTTCAAAAAAATAATTTGCTAATATTATTTATATTTGTGGATTGTATTTTTAAAATTCAAATAAAAAAGCAGACTTTAAAAAAAACGTTATCCTTAATTTTGTGTTTAGAATTAGATTTTTTATATGAAATTTTATTTTGTGTCATTGGTTATAAAACACCCTGTATGAAATGTTCCTTATTTGTCTGATCTTGCTTTTTTTAGTATACAAAGCAAGATAAACGTTGTAAAAAATATATTTGTTACTTTTGTGTAAAGATGTAAGTTTATAACACAATTTTCGACTTTATATTTTTTTGGTTTTATAAAAAAGTGGTATTAAATAAAATATCTAAATTAAGTATGCCATATGCAACACCATGAGCACGATGAACTAATTTTAATTTGAAATATTTGCTTTTTAAAAAATCTAAACATTCAAATTTAAGTGTTTGTATTTTACACCCTTTATTTTATAACAATGTTAAAGAAACTTTAATATATAATATGTCCTCATATTGTAATTTGTGTTGAAAACATTTTGTTATTGCTGTAATAATAATTATAATAATAATTATAATTAATAAATCTTTAAAGATAAAATTAAATTTAATCTATTTTTAGATTATTTACTGCCTACAAAATTAGTTATTTTTTATTCATCCCCATATTTGGTACATGACTCCCCCAAATGTATTTTTTACTTAAACAAATACATAATTTGCTATAAATTAATTAATTTTGTAGACAGTAAATAATCTAAACAGATTAAACTTAATTTAAGGTAGACATGTTTGAACATGTATTTTTACGCATAAAAACAGATTATTATTAAATATTATTAAATTTAATTTAGAATAGGCTTAAAAATGAACTAATAACCTACTCTAATCCCTTAAAATATTTAATTGCTCAAAACAATTTTGTTTTGTTTTTCAGTCCTCAAAAATTATTCTCCCCAGAAAAGGCCTACCTAAGTCCTAAAAAAGATGCTTCTGGCGCTCGCAGGAATCTTCTAAACTTGTTAAGTCCAGCTAAGAAGACATTGACCATTCCGGCTAGCCCGAAGAAGTCAACATTAGATTTAACCCCAAAAGCTGCTCTTACTTTACCATTTAAATATAGATATGTGGCTGAAATGTTCAGATGTATTGATACTGTCTCCCAAATATTGTACAACCGCAAAGAGACCATAACTTTTAGAAAATTAAAGCCTGCAGTTGAAGAGATGCTAAAAAGAAATCTAATAGAAAAACATATTGCACAAATAAAAACAATTTATTCGGAAGCATTTAAGCTGACTCAAGAAAAAGTTAAAGTTTTTGGAACTGGTATGAAGCATGAACAATGGGAGCTTGTATTCCATCCAAATATTGGCAGTCATGAACACATTACATCAGACGTCCTTCTTGAACGCAGAAGAATTTTGTTTAATAAGCTTTTAGACAAAGTAAAAGATTATCATAGTGAGTTTCTGCTTTCATTGACACCACCTCTGAATATTGCCAAGGATAAAATTACCAAATGGCATCCCGAATTTGATATTGAAAAAGTGCCTGACATAGAGTTGTCTGAAGTACCAAAGCCTCCAATTGAAGAAGCTTTTTCTAGCGGTAAAGATGTTTTGGAAAAAGCAAAAGAAATGTTTAATTGTAACACAAGAATGGAGATGGCGCTGGAAAGGTTGAGGGCTGCCAAGAACAATGAGACCATTGTTGTTCCAGAACAACCTAAATTGGAAAATCAGTCAGTTTTAAAGGGTATTCCTAAAGCACTTTTGGAAAAAGTTAGGCAAAAGCAAGCAGCAAAGGCTCTTCTCACAATGACCCGGTCAGCAGATAAGGAAAAGGAGATTAAAATGTATGGTAGACTGTCGGAATTAGCAAGAATAACTAGAACATTGTATGTGTCTGAGAAAAAAGGTGTCCTTCCTTTAGATGTTGTAGTGGAAAAACTTGGAAATTGTTACAGAGAGACCTTGACTAAGACAGAAATGGAAGAACACCTAAAAGCTATTTCTAAAGAAGTACCTGGTTGGTTAGTATTCCACAATATGAGAAATACTAACTATGTTAAATTATCTAAAGATGCAGATCTAAGTTTAGTTATAAAGAAGTTGGATGATTTAGCAAAGCTTAAAAATGAAACCTAATTTTCACATTGCATGTTTAATTTTATTACCAAATTTTAATTTTATAGTAATATAATTTTAATGTATATTTTAATAATAAAAAGTATAGTTTTTATATACTTAAGATATTTAAATTTATTTCATTTATACCCAATTAAGTTACTTTAATTTAAGACTGATTTGTTAATTTAATACAAACAATGTTTATCTTTTAAAAAATACTTTCTTAACTAATCTAATTAATTAAAATTAAATTTACCTATTATAATAAACTTCAAATGTATGTCATATGGTATTACATAATATGTATTTTGTTTATGAAATTAATTGCACTTGTCTAGTTTTGCCTGCTTCATCAAAATATATTATAACAAATAAATATTGTGTTTCTATTATATAATTAAACCAAATTTTCTTGAAAATACTATTATGGCATGCTGTAAAACTATATTTGTGTTGTTGTCTTGCAAGAAATATTTTTTTATTTGTTTATTTAGTTATTAATTCTTGAATTTTTTTAATAAAATTTTAAATTTGTCGATAAACTTCAGTGAATTAAATATTGTACCACTTTAATTTTAATTATTTTAATTTGGGCTGGGGGCACACTTAAAAACTAACTTTTTTTCGCAAACTTTAATTTAAATTCTGCCTGCGCAGAACTTCTTTATATAATGTCATTATAAACTCATAAATTTGATGTGGGTACCATGTCTAATAACTGAGATATGGGTGTGCCCAAAATCCACCAACCGCCACTGACAAATTCTTTAATAAATTAAAAATATCAGAGATATTTATAATTCGAATTAACATTAACATAAGAGAAATTTTTAAATAAATTAAAAATATCATGGGAGATATTTGTAATTCTAGTTAAAAATATCATAGAAATGTTTAAAGGAATTAAAAAAAAATATAGGAGAAATGTATAATTTGAATTAAAAATATCATAGAAGATAGAAGATAAACCGATATTAAAAATATCTGTTTTATTTTCTAATTTCTGTCATATTTTTAATTCTTACTGAACTTAAAAACGCACTATATGCGGTGTAAGTTTATTCAAACTACAGTTGCCTGTAACTGGCAACTGTTGAGCTTCACATATAAATAAAGCCCTGCTATATATGGGTCATTCCATATCAAATCACCAAATTTTAAAAATTGTATTTTTTGATTCAGTTAAATTTTTGATGTAGTTTTTGAAAAAAATTTATAAAAACCAAAATTTTTAACTTAAATTTTGACTTTTTTTGAATAGCGACATTTTTTATCTTTTTAAATATATGTTATACTAAACTAAAACAATTTTTTTAGGCCCATAATGAAAGTGGGATTCAACTATGTTCGATTTTTTTAGTATTTTTTTTAACCATAAATTGAAGTTTTTAGAAAATGTTCTAATTTTTTGTAAGTTTCATTAAAGTTTTCTATCAAAATATCATAAATTCGCGTTTAATATTGGAAAAAAATAATTTTGCAATGCTTGATAAATAATTCTGCGCTAATTCTTTTAATTTTTTATAATCATATTATTTTAATTTTTTTCTGGCGCTTTAAAGCGCCAGAAAAAAATTAAATTATAACAATTGTTATACATTTTTGTATTATTTTTAGTTTTTGTATTTCTTCTGTGAAATAATAATAATAATAATAATATTTTATTTATACTTTGCCTAGATATAATAGGGTGTACACGTCATTAAAGTAATTTGCATGGTTCACAAATACAGATAAATACACATATATACATACATATATTTGTACTAAAACTATGGTTTTATTTATAATTTAAAAATAAATATATAAAAACAAAAAGAACAGAACACAAGCATACATTTTTAAAGCTTTGGTATCTAACATTTCTGAAAATATTCCTGGGTGCTGTAGAAACAGTGATTTGCCAGGAAGTTTTTACACTCGTTTTTAAACTTATTTAAATTATTTATTTCTTTTATATTTTCTGGTAAATTATTGTATATTTTGGCTGATGCGTATGAGACCGACCTCTCGAATTTTGTTGTTTTGTGTGCAGTGGACATTATTTTATTTGCATTTCTTGTTGAATACGAGTGAAATTTGTTGTTTTTGTCAAAGTTTAAATTATTATTTTTAGCAAATAGTAAACTATTTAGTATATAAATACTTGGTACTGTTAGTATTTTGTGAGTTTTAAATGTGATTTTGCATGATTCGGTGTTTTTTAGGTTAAAGATCAGTCTGATAATTTTCTTTTGAGAAGTAAATACATGTTTTGCATATCCAGAGCCCCCCCATGGGGCAGATACAATAATTTAAATGACTATAAGCTAATGCATAATAAACATTTAAAAGGTATTCTTGAGACAGTGAATTTTTCATATTTAACAATGCAAAAAAGGCTCTATTCAGTTTTTTGTTAATGTGATTTATGTGTTCATGCCAGTTTAGGTTTGCGTCTAAGATTATACCAAGGAATTTGGTTTGAATTGAGGATTTTATAACCAAGGTATCAAGAATAATATTATAAATAATAATAATAAAATAAATCCGTACAATGTTTCTCATTATCGATTGCTAATAAATAAATCATACAGTGACCTCTAGCAACTTTTCAGCAAACTTGTTCTTTTATCAAACCTCAAAACCGGTGGCTATTTACATATACAAAGTTGCGTTCGTTGTCGCCATGCTTCTGTATGTACATGCTTCCATTGCGGGTAAACATGACTTCATCCGTCACCAAAATCCATCTTAAAAAGTTGTTATTGTTTCTATTTTGCTCTAAAAGCCAGGTACAAAAATTTACTCTCCGTGGAAAATCCTCTGGCTTCAAAGCTTGAACCCTCTGAACGTGGAAGGATGAAGCTGATTTTCGTGCAATGTTTTACAAACTTTCGTCTGACTAAGTTGAACTTGGGAAGCGATTATACGGTCGCCCTACGTGTCCTCCACGATGACCTTGTAAACTGTCAGATCCCGCCCTTTGAACAGCATTAAAAAATACCTGAGGGCGGGGATGGTCAGGGAAACGATTGGCGTACAATCGTGATGCAGCATTTGCATTTTGACGACACTTCATAAATTAGTAACAATTCCACTAATTCATTATTGCTATAATTATGAACCATTTTTAACAATAATTGAGGCACAAAAAAAAACTTAAGTAAATAATGACATTTTTCATTGCTAAATGTCATTTTGATTTAAATGGTTATGTTTGTTGTCATAGAATTGAGCCGGTCCTGGCTATTGTTAACAAAAAACATGACCATAAAAATAAAAATATCAAAAAAAACAATGCAAAATGTCATAGATCTATGTCATATATGTCAGACATCTATGACATAGATGACATTTTGCATTGTTTTTGTTATTTTTATTTTTATGGTTGTTTTTAGTTAACAATAGCCAGGACCGGATCAAAATTTAAACAAACTTTAAAGGGCTATAGGACCGTTTTTGCACAGAAAACCGGACCGGAACCAGTATTTATTTGTGGGCCGGAACCGTAACCGAACCCATATTATTTTTAAATGTCCAGAGACCGAACCCGAACCCTTTAAATTTAAAACGGTTTTTAGGTTATTTTCGTTTTTTTTTTCTTAATTTCAAAAATTAAAAAAAAATCTATTGGTTCGTTTAAAAAATCTATAAAATTAGTTTTTGCAAAAAATAATTAATTTCCTGGTGTGTTAATAACAATAGTTGGCATAAAAAATCACGACATGATTTTTTATGCTATCGGTGTTTGCGGCCATTTCAAGCGGATGGACGGGACAAATCACAAAACTGTTTTTATAAAAAAATTGTAGCTAATTTATTATATATTATTTTTGCATCAAAATTGTCAAAAAAATTCTTCTAATATTAGGGTAGGTATACATTAAATAAAAAAAATCGCAAGAAATATTTTATAAAAGTAGAGATAATTTCAATAATTGACAGGGATGGACGGGACAAGATAAATCTTTTTTTTGTCCCGTCCACACCTTTCAATTATTAAAATTATATCTACTTTCATAAAATATTTCTTGAGTTTTTTTTTATTTAATGTATAACTTAATAAAAGAAGAATATTTTTGACAATTTTGATGCCAAAATATTTTATAATAAATAATCTACAATTTTTTTTATAAAAACAGTTTTGTAATTCGTACGTTTCGCGCGCTTGAAATGGTCGTTTGGGCATAAAAAATCACGACATGATTTTTTATGCCATCGGTGCACCGACATGTTTGGATATTTATTTTTGCGCCACATTCGTAAATTGAAAGAAAAAATATGTTAACAATTAAATTAACAGTTTTTGCGGTTAAATACATTTAATATTTTCTTGGATGTAAATTAACTATTAATTTAAATCCAAAAAAATATTGAATGCATTTAACCACAAAAACTGTTGATTTTATGTACATATATGTAGGTATACTTTTTCTCTCAATGTACGAATGTGGCGCAAAAATAAATATCCAAACACCAATGGCATAAAACATCACGACATGTTTTTTATGCCATCGGTGCACGTAAGGCAAAATGAGGTATTTACGGCGACAGAAGTAAATAAAACAGAATACAATAATATTCGTTTATTTACATAGCAAAATGTTCCCAAATATTTAAAACCTTAGAAACAACAAAAAAATTGTAAAACGGATAAAGACAGGAATGAAAAAATGTCATATTGTTCGCGTGTTGTCAGGTAGTCGTGCGCGCAACCTGTATTTTGCCAAATTTAGTGCTAATACATTGTGTAAATTTGCAGTCACCACGAAGTAAATCTAAAACTTTTAAAATGGAGGTGTTACCATGTTGTAAGTACTTCAAATCAACGTATATATTAACGATGTAAATCTAATTTCTCTATGTGAATTATCCAATTATCTAAACAGAGTAAAATTTGCATTGTTTAGTTTATTATTAAACTTGATAAAAGGTTATAAAAAAAGTTTCGCAAAGTTTCGCTTTGAGCGTCAGCTTAATCAATGGCATTAAATATTGGTTTTGCAAGGAAATTATTTTTTTTCCACATACTTCCACATTTAAGTGTTTTTGTCTTTATTTTCAAGTTGTGGAGCTAAAAAGTGTATCACAATAGAAGAACTATATTTAGTCCTAAAAAAGAACGTTTTTACGAGTATTTGCTAATAAAGTGTTATAAACGATTATATGAATACATTTTGAGCAGTTTACAGACTTACACTTTGTATTTAATGTTTAAACCCATAAATAATTCGTAATAATAATACCTTTATTTTTTCAGGAGTACAATCATAAAATGTCATTATTTAATTAACG